GCAAGAAGAAGCTGCTTCTTGGCAGGGACCTGCCAGCCTCTTAGTTATAGCAGATTCTAAAAAAAACCAATGAAGCAAGGACTTTGATCGCAGGGCTGCAAAAATAGCCAGGCAGGAGCTGCTTTGCACAGACCCACAGAAGCAGCTGTGGGGTGATGGGTCCTGTCCCCTTGTGCAAGCTGAGCCCCTTTTGCCACTCTCCTATGCCAGTCATTGGCATTTGTGTGTGCAGGATGGAGGGCTTGTGCTCCAGCGCCTGACGTGGGTTCTGCTCTCTGCCTTGACCGATTGAGGCAGGCGTGAAGGGCTCAGTTAGATAACTTGGGGAGTGAGGGAAATTTAAAGGCCTGTGTCTATACCCCTCTGCTCTACCTTGCTCCCTCCCTTGCCATGTGCTGGGGGGCAAAGGCTGGTCCCTGAGCTCACTGAGGCTGCATTTCTCCCTCCAGCTGCTGGGGGCTGGCTGCAGTTTCACAGGGGAACTGGGGGCAGGGCTCTGCTGGCATGGACTTGGGGCCTTCACCGTGACGCTTGCTGCTCTATGTCAGCCAAGCAGCAAACAGTTGAAGATTCCTTTCTCCCATGTCATGTTCATTCACTCTGCAGTTGTGTAATAACGAGGACACCAGCACTTGTAAAACTCACTCCAAGCCTGAGTTGAAGCAGCCTTTCCCAGCAGTATTGATGCACTGGGTGCAAGATTCTGCTTCTCGGAAACAAGCAATTCCACATCTCTGCTTACCATGGCACAAGGGGAAGAGAACGGATTCTACCGCAGCAATGGGAACGTGGAGGAGGGCCTGGCTCTCCAGGATGGAGGGGCATCCCCTCAGCCAGAGGTGCTTGGGGCTACAGACAGAAGGATGCACAGAAGAGCTCTGGGTGAGTGCATGGTCATTCCTGTCGGCTGTTGGAAGCAGACGTTGTCCCTGTGGCAGTGTCACCCCAGGAGGACTGGGGCTGGCGAGGGTGAGGCTTCTCCCAGCTCTGGAAAGGCCTCATCAGGGGGCCTGTAGCAGCCCCACCACCATCTCTCTTTGCAGCTCTCCTGCTGCGGGCTGTGCCCCCAGGTCCACAGGGTGACAGCCTTGTCCCTGCTCTGTGTGACTCTCCCTTGCTGCCAGCTGTGTCTGGGGAGGGGATTGAGAAGGTGCAGTTGTGTGTGTGTGTTTAAGGGGCTGGGGGGTCCCCTCTGCTTTCCTTGGGCAGCTCATGCAGGGGCTGGAGGGAATGTGAGGACTGTGCCAGTTCTGGGCCAGCGCTGTTCTCACTGCTGGTGGCTTTTTCCCCTCCAGGCAAATGGTGCACCCGCCGCCGGGTGTGTTTAGTGGTGCTGGCTGCGCTGGTTGTGATCCTGACTCTGATCGTGATTGTTGTGCTGGCAGGTAAGGGGGGAGGCACGGAGCTGTGTGTGCCGACAGGCACAAGGACTGGTTGTTCACCTCCAGAGTGTTGGCTCTCTGGAGGTACCTGGCAGCAGACTGGGGATCCCTGTGGGAGGAAGCCTGGGGCTGTGTCCCCTGGGCCCTGCAGAGGGGAAGCCTCTGAGCTCCTGCCCTTCTTCCCTTTCCTCCACAGCAAAAAGGCCTGGAAAGCATCCAGCTCTGGTGCTGGGCTGTCCTTACGACTGGGTTGGATACCGCAATGTCTGCTACCACCTCTCTGTGGAGGAGAGGAGCTGGAATGAGAGCCAGGAGCAGTGCTCCCGGCTTGGGGCCTCGCTGGCTGTGCTCAAGAAGGAGTGGGAAATGGTGAGTGGGGGGGTGCTGGTGCTGTGTGAGGAGTGCAGGAAGGGGGTTCTGGGTTGGGTGCAGCCCCTGGGGTTGGCATTGGGCAGGTTGGGAGGTGCTTGTAGGGCAGAGATGCTAGTCTTGGAGGAAAGCAGAGGGTGCAGCATGTGCCCAGGGTAGATCTTGGCTCGATCCTGAGCCTGGCAGAGCACCAGCAGAGCTGGAACAGCCCTGTCAGTGGGGCTGGGCTGCTCCTTCAGCAGCCCTGGAGCTCGTTGGAGAAGCTGTGGGGTGAGAGCTGCTGCTGTCCCACAGCTGGGGGCAGGCATGTGGGGCTGGGGCTGCCTGTGCAGCTCCTGGCAGGGCCCAGCGTGAGGCTGGGGCAGTGACCAGCGCAGGGCCGGCAGCAGCTCCTGACCCTCGGCTTCTCTCTGTCTTCCCCAGAAGTTCGTCTTGCTCATCAAGGGCAACAAGGATTACTGGCTGGGGCTGCGGAGAGTGGGCAAGCGCCTGGAGTGGGTGGATGGAAACAGCTTCAACCACACGTGAGTCCTGCTGGGAGCTGCGGCCGTGGGGAGAGAGTCCTGTGGGAGGATGGGCTGGGGCTGGGACTGCCTCTTGCAGGCAGTACTCATTTCCTGCCGGCGCTGAGGGAACGGCAACCAGCCATTCACCCAAGACTGTCTTTGATTCTTGTCGCAGGATCCAGGTGCTGGGCCATGAACCTTGTCTGTTCCTGAACGACCGCGATCTCATGAGCTCAGCCTGCTCCCTGCGACTGCCATACGTCTGCAGCAAGCCCCAGGCTGGGCTGTGACAGAAATGGGGGAGAAAGGAGCTGCCCCGTGCTGCAGGTTCACAGCTTCAGCCCTTATACCAGTGTGGGGATGTCCATCTCTTGACTGCAAGTCCACGTTGTTCCTGCTCTCAGGAAAAATTCGCTGCCACTCCTCAGGGATCTGAACCTGCAGGAAAGGGGGAAGACATCATGAATGCTGACATGTGCCTTGCCTAGACTGGGAACCAGTTTCCTTCTCCTGGACCCAGGACTCCTCTCGCTTCTCTCGCAGTTCAGTCTGGCCCTGCTGTCACGTTGCCCCATGGGAGTTGAGTGGCTGCTGCAGGAGGAGATGGGTGCAGAAAGCTCGGGGGAAGAACCTCCTGTACAGGGCAGAGGGGACACAGGCGTGGGTGTGAGGTGGCTCCTGTGTGGCACCTGTGACAGTATTAATTCTGAGCATTAGGTCTAGTTCTTTTCCTACTTTGTATACTTTTTATATTTAAACAACTTCTTCAATCCACCTGGATGTTGCCCCTGTTCTGCTTTCCCCACATGGCGCCTGCTCTGCCCCAGGACCTGGGTGACTTCTGGGGCTCACCCTGGGTCTGTGCTCTGCTGAAAGCCTCCGTCCTTCCCTGTCACTCCCTTTTTTTCCCCACATCTGGGGGCTCTTGTGGGGCTCCCCAAATCCTGACCCCCTCAAGAAGGTGAAAGTAGCTGTGGGCACTGGGGATGAACCTGGCCTGGGTGGTGGGGTAACAAACCTGGCTGTGTCCCCTGCTCGTGTGGTGGGTGTGTGGGAGGGCCCCTTCCCAGTGCTCCCATCCTTGATCATCCTGGTTAGGGGTTCAGATGGCAGTGGGGAGGGGCAAGGAGTACCTTTGGGGCTGTCCTGCTTCATTTTTATTTGGTCCGTTTTTCCTGAGCTGGGGAAACTTATTTTTGAGGCTTTGTCCATAGAATCATTGAATCCCAGACTGGTTTGGGTTGGAAGGGTCCTCACAGCCCCCCAGTCCAAGCCCATGGGCAGGGACACCTCCACCAGCCCAGGCTGCTCCAAGCCCCATCCAACCTGGCCTTGGGCACTGCCAGGAAGGTGGCACCCACAGCTTCTCTGGACACCCTGAGCCAGGGCCTCACCACCTCACAGCCAGGAATTTCTCCCTAATATCTACCCTAAATCTCCCCTCTTCCAGTCTAAAGCCATCCCCCCTGGTCCCATCACTCCAGCCCTTGTCAAATGCCTCTCCCCATCTTTCCTGTCCCCTTCAGGTCCTGGAAGGTGCTCTAAGGTATCCCCGCAGCCTTCTCTTCTCCAGGCTGAACAGCCCCAGCTCTCTCAGCTGTCCCCATGGGGAGAGGCTCTTCTCTTGTCCCTTGGTGTCCCCTCCTCTGCTCAGTAAAATGGTTTTAGGGCCTGATTAATTTATTTCAGTAAAGAAAAAACCACCCTTATTAAACACAATTAAATGCTGCAAGGTAAGGGGCAGCCTCGGAGTATGGGAGCAGAGGTGCTTGCCTGTGTCTGGCACAGGATTAAAGAAATAATAGAGTTTAATTATGCTAATGAAACTAATTAGTTGCTAATTAGGAAGCTGGAGAAGTGGGAACCCCATTTTTCTTTTCTCTGGGGAGAAACTCCTCCCCATGACTGTCACCTGGGTGTCCGGGCTGCCCATCAGCAACTTTTGGGTTATTTTGCAGGAAATTGATGTCTCTGCAGCCTTTTCGCGCCTTGATGGCACGAAGGCGAGCGGTCAGAGATGCTTTGGTTTCCTGTCCCCTCCTCCATGTCCTCTGTACCCCTGCGCCATCTTCCTCGGCATGGAGGATGAGGACGGTTACATGGTTTTAGACAAGCGGGGTGCTGCGGGGAGCCCAGGTCCACTCCAGGATGCAGGTATGGGGCAGTCACCCCAACATTTTTTGGAGGGAGAGAGAAGAACTATAGGGTGGTGGTGGTCAGTGAGAGGAGAAGCAGGGTGATGCTGCCCATCTGTGCCCTGAGAGCTGCTCAAGGTGGGGAAACTGAGGCACAGAGGGCGGGAGGAAGGTGTGGGGGCACTTCTCTGAATGCTGCGGGTCTCAGCTGTGACCCTGAAATGAGCAGAGATTTTTCTGGGAGACACCCAGCTCCTTCTTGGAGACACCCCTTTGTGCAGGGCAGGCTGCAGGGTTTTGCGGGAGGTCTCGCCAGGATGCCTTGGCCCTGGACACCCTGCCTTGGGGTCTCTGGGGACTGGGGGGTGGTGAATGCTCTCAGCCCCCCAGTTTTTTTGCAGGATCCAGCCTCCAAGACTCCTGGAGGGGGGTTACCCCATGGCAAGGAGGGGCAAGCGACCCCCCAGGAGCCCCCCGCTGTCCCCGCTGCCTCCTCAGGGCCCTGATGGCTGCCCTGGCTCTGGCCCTCGTGGTGTGTGGTGAGTTACCCCCCATGGGCTTTTATTTCTGGCGGGGTGAAAGGGGTTGGGTGCCCCCACCCAAGCTCAGCGTCTCTGTCTCTCCCAGTCTCTTGGCTGGTGCTGGAGAGGGAGCGACCCCAGGGGACTGTGGGGTGCAAGATCACATCACTGGGAGGGGGCTGCACCTCCCTGGAGCTGAGGAAGAACCTGTGCCCCCTACAAGGTAACAGACACCCCCCTCCAAAAAAAATTCATTACAAAGCATCCCTGGGTGCTGTTCCCACCCTGGTGTCCATCTGTCCATCCGCAGTGGACAAGGGGTGCAAGCTCTGCCCCATGGGCTGGACGCTGCGCGGGACCAAGTGCTATTGGATTTCGGAGGGCATCGAGCTGTGGAACAAGAGCGAGCGGGACTGTGGGAATCGGGGCGCCGAGCTGCTGATGCCGGGGGACCAGGATGAGCTGGTAAAGGGATTGATGGCACTGGGGATGTGGGACAGTGGGGACGTGGGATGGGTGCCAGGGCTTCACCCCAGGAGGGATTGGTGGCACCTGGGTAAGGGCTTACCCAGAAATCTGGGATCAGCACCCACCCTTGTGCCACGTCGGAGCATGGGAGACTCCGTGGGGCTGGGGGCTGTTTTGGGGTGACTCTGGTGGCACGACCTGCCCTCTCTCCCTGACACAGGATTTCCTAAATGAAATCCTCCATAAACCAACCCGTTACTTCTGGATCGGGCTCTCCGTCCCCTCCGCTGGACAGGGCGGGACCTGGCTGAACGGCTCCCGCCTGGACCAGAGCCGGTGAGCGCTTTGGGAAGGGAGGGATGGGTGTCGGGGTGGGGCCCCGTCACCCACGGGGCCCTTGGGCCGTGACGTGGGCTCCCTTCTGCGCCCGCAGATTCCAGCTGAGCCCCCGGGCTGAAGGCTGTGGGGTGCTGAGGGCGAACAGCATCGACGCCGGCAACTGCAGCTTGGGTTTTCAGTGGATTTGCCAGAAAAACGCCACGAAGCTCTGAGCCGGGGGAGGCCCTGGGGCCGGGATC